AAGTTATCGGGGTTGACATTCTTGTGGAAAACGGACCAAAAATGAGTTTCGTGAATCGTTTGTGCTGTGAGAGTCCTGTTGTTGGCTTCAGCTCTTCTAACTGGTGTCTTGACATGACTTTTTAAGTACATGATCGGATTGTTGCTGTTATTCAATAGTTAATTCATGTGACTTTGTTTCTTGTATAATTGTATTTCCACACTTTCTGTGTTTGTTCTGATGACTGAAACGTTTAGGAAGGAAACTCTGTCTTCTGTTTCCTCCACTTTTGTAAATTTAGTGTCATCAAGAATGTCGCTGATCAACTTGTGAGATTTGAAAGTTCTCTTCTCTTTGAAATAAGGCATATGTTATCTGCATGATGTATTCAAATATTTGACTTTACTCAAAGGCAAAAAACTGAAATAACTAAATTCTTAGTAATCTTAACTTGATTGTTGTAGGAAGGGAGAGTCATTTGTGAAACATGAGATATATTACGTTTACTTCTACTGAAAATCCATCCGCTTATATACCGAAAGAAATTTTAATGTCCTAACTCAGTAGTTATCATATTAACACTCCAATTCTTGGCAAACACATTCCACAATGAAATAATATTTCTGTGAATTTCTCTAATTGTTAAGTGTTTATTTGGCCAGTGATGAAGAATTGAAAAGCTAATTGTTCCATATTCACGAATTATGAATACCACACGTAATGCAAAAGAACAAAACACATATTGCTTGTCATGTTTAGGTCAGATTGAGGATACACAGACAATTGTTTCTGCATTAATGGTTAATGATATTCGTTGTTTGAATGTCACTCCATTGCTTGTTTCTGTATGCTTATATTGTGTCGGAATGAATATGATGGTGTTAAGGAAACACTACATTGTTCGAATCAGTTCTGATTCAGGTCACTGATAATGTATGCATAAATGATAATATGGTTTGAAATTCCCTTATGAGAAATTACCATATGAAATGAAAATAACTGATATTTCCTTGCTATAACTTACATACGCGTTTAAATTATTTGAGCATTTTAAATTCTATTATTTAAAGATTAAATTGAGAACATTGGTTTACTTATGAATGAGATATACCTAGTTGTTGTCACACACTGTATAATAATTCTGACTTACATAATAGCAGTCATATATTTACTGTTGAATTCTATTAATATTTAAAACAAAATGTATATAGAGTAGTCAGATCTCTCAACTTATTATCCAGTTGTTAAGTAGTTACTCTTAATTGTAAACTTAGATATCCTGTGATATGATAGAACAAAAAGGATGACACGATTTACGTCAATATTTTTTGTATCGATTCACAAAGAACTTCGGTCAGGGCGATTGATGTGAACTTCGTTCAGTGTGAATTATATTTCCTGTATCAATTAAGATAAGCTGTATTCAGTGTGCTGTTACTGTATCTCCTTGATTTTTCTCCTATTATTACTACGTATAGAAATTAGTATACAAAGGATTGTATGTTAATCTAATTATTACATTTATTGTTAAGACGTGCTTTTCAAAAGCCAGTTAATTTTCATTGAACCAGTCTTTAGTGTTTTTCCTTTTGGTTCATAGACTTATACACCCAAGTGTATGCAGTAGCATCGTGGAATTGTAGTGGTTCTCAATTGTTAAGCCAACAGAATCAATGAATACATAGCAGCGAAGATACCCCAGTGGTGATTCTGATTTTAGCAACAGATAGAGAAATAGTGTCCTAGTAATCTTTCATGTCGGATATTTATGATACTTCCGGTGTGAAATGATGTCAGCTATATGCCCTGTGTAAATACTTTCATGGGAAATTATCAGTTGTCGATACTTTTGTTTATAATAAACAAATTACTTCTACATTTGGTTCCCCTGGGGAACAATGTCATTCTGAAAAATATTTTATTCACTTAGAATGTTGTAACAAGATTTTTGTTCAATTTTTTATCGCGTTACTTGTTTTGGGAACGATCTAATATAAACAAGCTGTGTTTGTTATGAAAATTATATTTACACGAAAAAATGAGTGGTTCTATCCATGAGTTTCACTAGTTACATATCCATTGATAAACCTTGCAAATTAATTTTAACTTCCACTTGTCTTACACCTTTGTTTCTCATCCATAGACTTTAATTTTACAGAAAGGCGAGGCATGTCGGGGACATTAGATCCTCAGAACTCACTTGGGAATGGACCTAATTTTGTAATTTTATTCAGAAAATTTGAATTTTTTTTGTTTTCGCGCCAAAGGCGCTCTTGTCACCTTCATGTCGTATTACCCACTGGGAAATATCTTAAATGCTTCTGGTCCGTTGCGTCTTTTAGTATCCTATTTGGTAACTCTCCCTAAGGACGGTTTTGTACTGTACACATACGTTTTGAATCGTGTTTGTTATTATCGCTCGTTTCTGGCTGTTTGCAGAATATACTTTACCATTCCAAGCTTCGACTTCTCCCTCTAGTTAGCGGGGCTGGGACGCTCACAGAGTCTTGTTTCTCGTTCGCAGATTAAGTGAACTCGTGATAGCTTCAACCCTAGCAAGGCTAAATAAAATTATTAAACTACGCATTATGATTATTATTACACTTAATTATTATTCTTTCGTTTGGCCGTGCATCAAGATTTTCAATATGATTCAAGTAAATTCCTCATTGGAAGGATCTTCACATTCGTGACTATTTTCTTTAAATCATTATTGAGTACTAAAAACTCTACTTGACACTACGCCACAGCTACAGTATTATACAAAAAAGCAAAAATCAATGTACATAATTCGCTATATACACTTTGTTGAACAGGGAGTAAGAAAAATCAGTAGTTTAGTATATACAACTGCGAAATATGGATCAATAGGCATGATGTTTGAGAATTGTTAATAACACCAACATGGTTCCAGGTACATCTAACTGGTAATTTATAAATCCAATGACAATTATATTCTATTATTTAACCTTTCTCCTAAGCTTTCGATTAACTGCTTCGAAATAACATGTACTAAAAGTAGTTCATGATGTTGAATTGCTCGTGTTGAGATTAGTAGAATCGAATAGAAAAGTCATTTCAGAAGCTGGTTCGTCAAGATGATCTCTCAGTATGGGTTGTGGAGACTACTGAACTTCACTGCAATCACGAACCGGTCAAAGTTAGACAGCCATTGAAAACCTGGAAGCACAGGAAAGCCACTTCGTCTCAGTACGGGACAACTCACCAGTGAGAATCCACGACCCTGAAAGCAAGAATCGAACACACGAACTTGGACCTCGCACACAAACACTACCTCTAGACCATTTAGCCGGACTTCAATACATTTTTTTCTCGGAAATTATTCTCAGAAGGTTCACCAACAATAATTTATAATCTACAATTTAGACTAAATAGACTTGCTTTGCACAACCATTCCTCTTTCATTTGCCTGTGATCACACTCGTCAAACCGCCTTAACGAAAGTGATTGGTGTTCGCAAAAATCGATTACTAAAACGATAATGAACAGTGTATGTGTTTTAGACCATGGTTTTTAAAGGATAATATAAGATATATATGATAAAAGATTATATTTTATGATGATCCGTTGGGAATAGTTGAGAAAAATATTGATTGTACTAGGCAGTGGTAGTTTGGTTGATGACAATGATCTTCGTCTAAAGAAAGCCAGGGTAGTTATTTGTTTGATGTTCAGAATAATTTAAGTATCAGAAACAGTAGAGCCATTCGAAACATGATTAATAAATTTGAGTAATCAACAATAAATATTAAAAAAAAACATTTTGAAGAACCATCATTCTAAGAAGAAATCAAGTCGGAAACTACAAATCACTCAAAAATCTAATTGTAACGTTTGGAGTATATTCAGGGTCATAGACACTTTCTTTCCAACTTTTAGTATTATAAAAATGAAAGCAAATTAGTGGACAATATTATTAGCATTTTCTGCTTTGTAACAATGTGATATAATATTTTTAGGGAACATCACTACTTAGTATTAATGTAACTCATTTACCTAATACATATTTATCGACTTAGCTTTAAATCAAACTGTTTAAGTAAAGCCAATTAGTACTATCCAAAGATGGACAAGTCACGTTCAATGCTGTTACTTACACTAGTTAAATGTGTTTAATAACAACTGCACTCAATTGTTTATATATCAAACTGTTTCAACTACCCTGTTACATAGAAATACACAATTAAGAACTAAATATAATGCAAGACATAAGTTAATATCTTAGAATAAGAGAGGATATAGAGCTTTAACTTAACAATAAAAACAATGCAATATTTTGTTTAATAAATTCAATAATAATTTAAATAAATTCTTATCCACAAATAATTAATAAAATGGTTTAAACTTTCTAAAAAATATATGAATAAAACAAAATTTTAATAAACCGCTTTGATTTTACTAGCATTGAGCTGTTAAATTTAAACTCGGAAAATTTAAAATTCAGATATCAACTCTGGATCTTCAAAAAAAGAGGGGAAGTGTTATATCCCGATGAGAACGATGAATGAAAACTTTTGGGATCCATTTATAGACCAATATTATACGTATATTTTTGTCGTGTAATTGTTAAGTGACTAAACTACACATATTCATGTTCCTCTTATTATAAGCTTTATTTTGACCTATGAACTGTTATTATACGATTTACCATTCTTGAGTTATACCCAGTCTATCAATTACTACCTCCCACATTCATAGCTACATTTGGCTAAATCTTGTACAAATGTTGTTTCATATTTTATGGTACGATGTGGTCTGTTTAGTTGGCAGGTAAATCCAATATGTTTGAAATAAATGATTCATATCGCAGAGGCTGAGATTGATGTTCGGAACTTAACAGGCTGGGCCGATAAGGACTCTAGACTGCTCGTACGGATTTTATGCGTCATTGGTCCGATCGGTAATTCACTGTTCTCTAATTGGCTGTATCATCACGTGATAGATTAATAGGAAACAGGGCACAAGTTATAATAAAACTATTCTTTCATGTTTGTTTGTTTTTATTTATCTTTAACACAATGTTCATTATCTTGATACGCTAAATCTTCACGTAGATTCATTCCTGTAGAAAAGAAGAGAAACAAATTCATTTATAAAGAAAAATAAAAAGTTCATTCAAAAACAAATTAGTTGTTGTATCAAAATTTTAGTTTTACATTAAGATTATTATATTTCATTTTATGAAGGTCAGGAAGAAAACTATAACTGAAAGCAAATGTTAAATAGTCTCACTGAAATAATTCATATAAACAAATATACTTCTAAGATCTATTTCATGAAAGACTGATTTCAACTAGAAAAAACATTCAGGAACAGGGAACAAATGGATAGATATTCTTTCTTCTTGACTAGAACTATTCAGTCGCGATTCATTACTATATCATCAAGGATTATTGTTTTATTCTAAGAATTAATAGAAGTTGGAAATATGGACGAGTGACCATGAGATTTGGAAATTTCGGATTCGGTACCTGATAGTATCATAAATGTCTACTACTAAATAGAATGAAACAGCTTTCTAATGCACCATAGTTGTCAAACAGTAACAATAAATACATTTAAATTGAACTAATCTCCACAATCGACTAACAGAATGTAATTCTACTGCCCGGGTGTTTATATAGATATTTTTTAATCCCAATATAAAAAACGACTCAATAGTTAACATGATGAAAAAAAAGCTAAATATTGGAATCCTTAACTGCAATTATATATTTTGTCTGTAATAATTCATTTCACAACTTGTTTAAGCCGCTGCGCTGATTTGAAACTATGACAACTAAAACCAATCCATATTTTCTCAGATCATGTGTTTTTTTGATTGACTAAATGTTAGTGGAATAGTAAATAGTGTGAATGAAAACAGTGATTAGAATATACATCCAAATGAATTAAGCAATACAAGACAGATCACTTTATTTATTTATTATTTTATTTATGTGAACACATAAATACTGGTACAAAGGAGCATCGAATACATATGCGCTACACAAATCATTTGATTTGTGAGTTGGATGTGATGCTGTCCGGGTGCCCAGACTGAGGCAGATGGTTTTTTTAGGGAATCATACCCAGAGCTTTTCACCTAAGGATCTGATCTACACGGCAGTGGAGCAACGTAAGAAAATGCAGTCCCATGGCAGCCGGTGACCAACAATTGGTTCATACGCCGTTTGTTCCCTCAAGATCCTAGAGCTCATATGTAATATTAGTTTGGAATCCATATCCATTAACCCGGCTAAAACGCTGGACATTCGCTTTTCATCCTCTCGATTTCGTAAACAACACCCCCGCCACGAGGAGGCAGTGAGCAGGACTTCCCTGGCAGTAGCTGTATGCGCGTGGCCATGTGAGAGCATTTCGAGAGGGAAAGCGAACTCCCCCCACGCTCGACCGTACCAAGGATTTTGGGGGCACAGAACACTTTTGACCATCTGAATGATACGAACATATGAAGATATTATTATGACTCCACCTACTATAAACATTTTTCTCAGCATCGACGAGTTCCATTTGAATAACTGCTGTTCGTATTAACGTTTCGCAATCTTCTGCATTTTTCAATAACTATACAAAATGTAAGATAAAACAATAACAATGTATATATGTACAGTGTAAAAATATTAGTCTAATAAACAAATTATAGACTGAACAGCCAAGGCAAAAATATCTCTAAATTTGTTGTTGAATTATGGCGGTTCAGATACAACGATAAAATATCAATTCCTTTGTAAATACTGACGGGTGACAACTGGTACGAAACTTCCTGTCCGTCATCTTCAAATAAATAATACGAAAACTGTTAATTATAACGAAATAAATGTGAAAATAGTCAATTACATTAGGCAGTAAGAAATAATGAATTGAAGTTTGATCAAAGGATTTATATTTATTTATGTATTTGAGCACATAAATATTGGTACAAGAAGGCACCAAATATATATGAGCCACACAAATCATTAGATTATTGTGAGGGTTAGAATACTACTCGGGCACTCAAGCCAAAGACGGCGGTTTTCTTAGAGGGCTACTCCACCAAGCCTTTGACCTAAAGGTCTAATTCACAAGGCAGTGGAGCAACATTAGGAGATACAATCCCATGGCAGCCGGTGACCAGCAATTGGTACATACGCTATTTGTCCCCTTAGGATCCTGGAGCCCACGTGCACCACTGGATTGTAATCAGGGTATCCCAATCCTCTAGATGAGTCCTCCATATCCACCAACCAGGTTAAAGAGCCACACATTCGCTTTTCTCCCTCTCAATTTCGTAGACAACAACACCGCCGGGAAAAAGCAGTCAGTAGGACTTCCTTGGCAGTAGCTGCATACTGCAAAGAGTGAAATGTTACAGTTTAATAATGTTTAATATAACAAATAAAACTGAGCAATCAACTTCAAGTTTTTTTACTCAGTTTTGGGATGAATGTTTCGTGTATAACAGTTATTTATACTACCTAGTTGCATTAAAGTAAGTTTTGACCCTTTAACTTAATGGTGCAGATTTAAGTATCTTGATAAACAAATTACGGCTCAACATAGTTAGCATTAGAATTCATACATGTGTTTTCATGTACGCGGGTTGAAAGCAGTTAGTAAGATGCCCTGAATATACGTCTCTCTATAGCTGGCAGTCGTTAGCACACTGTACTTGCAATCTTGAGAGAATTGATGCTCCCTGGTGGACTCGAACCCTTATCATCCAGTCCCACAGTCATCTCTTGTAGGACTGAGATATTTACAACGACTAATCATTGAGTAGTGGTCAATGTCATTTTTTTCTAAACCTTAGTGTTAGTCGAATACTAAAGATCAGGTTGCAGGGTTTCCCATCGATTACCTCCAATTAATTATTATCAAAACATAGTACTGGCGATTTCATATCACTTAGACTAGTGACCACATTGCACTTTGAAAACCAGGCAACTGTGACATTGGTCACTGTTCATTGATTAAACAACATAAATAAATATTTTCAGTTATGTTAGTGATGAAAAGCAAGTGTTCAGTGATTACAATACATACTTTTTTTAATGAAAAAAAGTCACTTAACATGCCAATTGTCATTCGGTTAACACTTAAACTAAAAGCAATAAGATTATGTCACTTCAGAGCATTAGAAATAAAGATAACTGAAAAAGTAATCACTATAAATAATCATAAATATGATCCAAAATTGATATCAAATGACTCACTTCGTTTATTTTTTCAGTATCAGTTTCATTTCGATTAGCTCGAAACTCCGCATTAATCTTTTCTCTGGCGGCTAGATAGAAACATCCACAAGCACGCACATAAGCACAAATATTTTTAGAAATAAACAAGATAAAATTTATACTTAACTGACATATAAAATACATATAAATGATTAATAATAAAGTAGATTATCCATATCAAAATTTGTTATTTAGATATTTAGAATAAAAGACAAAAAGACTGAAGAACTTAATTTTCAACCAGTTTCTCCGTATGGTATTATACACTAACTACTCCAGAGAAGTCGGTGATATCACCCTTATTATTTGTAATCATAAATGGCTTTGCAATAAATATCATACATCATACCCAACGTAGATACAGGCAAATATGTAAACCGGTTCGAGCTGCCACAACACATCAGCGCAGCGAATTGCCAGATTAGTAGACATAGTAACAGCATAAATTATAGTAAAAAATATTAGACATAGAAGAAATAATTTGGAAAGAAATAGATCGATATAATAAAAAACAAATACTTAAGGTAATTAAGAAGCTTGAGATGTGGCAGAATATAGAGAGCGGAAGCATTTACGCCACTGTGACCAACTCTGAGACATGCCACCACCCAAAGGCGGCGGCGTTATAATTCATAGACGAACAAACCAGATTGACGAAAATGCCTCTTGAAATTTCTTGCAAAACTCATTCTTACAATGATGCAAGTCTGTAATAAAAACCCTAACTCTTATTCCAAACCTAACTCTTAACACTAATTCGTTGCATGAATTCATAAACTTACTTTGACCTTAGTAAGTGGTTGGAGTTTCTCAGGACTACTTAAAGATCACTCAAAAGTCTTTCACGAATTAAAGTCGAGCAGAAGAGGAAAATATGTTGAGGTGTTCAAAAGATAAAATTCAACTTGTCGCTAATATAATTGAAGTATCAGAATTTGGTGTGTAAAGCACCACAGAATTTTCCAATTTACGTTCACAACTGTACAAAGTATACATTTTCGTTTTATTATGATCTTTCAGTAGCTTTTCAATCAATTAGTCAATCAGTTTATGTTAGTGCACAACCTGCAAAGTGTGTATCGATCTAAGTTGTCAAATTTAACTTCAGAACAAACAGAAGAGAAATAAACAAGATAAGAAACATAGGATGAGAAATTTCACCAAAACTAATGAAAATCTAAACATGAAGAATAAAGTTCGAAAAGGGAACAAATATAATTGAATAATGGAAAGTTGGAAATAATAAATGAATCAAGATTTAAATGATGATAGAGAATAAATGAAGCTATGCCCTACTGTGATTTATCTTACATCATTTCATCGTCACTCACCATTTTCAACCTTATTGATTTTATAATGGATATCAGTTTTTAAAAAGTACATTGAACCAATATCTATAATACAATTCTTACTATTCATTAAAGAAAGTTGATAAAAAGAATCGGTACGTAATCATCCATTCATCGTTTTGTAGAAAATTCAACCAACCTATCCGTCCATTTATTTATTATCAATATTTATCCTTAGCTAAATAAATTTGTATGATAACTGTGTTCAAAAGTCTTTTCTTTTCAACAATAGTTTAAATAATAGTGAAATGAGTAAAACAAAATTGTTCATAAACAGTTGGATATCAGATTTTCAGAGGTAATCACAAGAATATATGGAACATTAACTTCCAATGACTTTTTGATAAACATTAACACAGAGAAAGTAAAAATTTTGAGAAAAAAGAAACTGTGTGTTGCTCGTGATACTTCAATCTACAACATTAACTCAACATGATAGTTGTAAATTATTCTGAAGATAAATGTACGTGAATAAACTCACAAACCAACTATATAAATATTGGAATTTACCTTGTAGTGTTTCGATATCAGCTTTAAATACATTTTCACATGTACGGTGAAGTTTTTTAAATATATTCAAGGCCTAAATCATAAAAAGAAAATTAGTTTATCATTCTGTAAATACCAACAAAAAAAGAGAAAAAAAGGCAAATTAATTGAATAATCAAATATATGCCATTTATGCAATGTTCAACAAAGACAAACAGAAAAGGCTGTAAAATAAAAATATTTTAAACTTGTTACTAACTATATTACACTAAAAGTCAACCACAATCTAGATAGTGGAGAAGATTTGTAGCTCAGGTGGATGATTTTGGTGGAGTTTTGTTCTCTGAGCTGGATGGTTTGGTCGTGGAGCTTTCATCGTTCTTCTGAACGACATCATCAGCACAAACTTCAGATAGAAGTGAAGTGTTTGAATTTCTCCATATGTATCTCAAAGCTTGTTCTGTGCACCTCGACGTTGATTGGTCAATAAGAACCAATCAACGTCGAGGTGCACAGAACAAGCTTTGAGATACATATGGAGAAATTCAAACACTTCACTTCTATCTGAAGTTTGTGCTGATGATGTCGTTCAGAAGAACGATGAAAGCTCCACGACCAAACCATCCAGCTCAGAGAACAAAACTCCACCACAATCTAGATAATAACTTCTATAAAAGATGACGAACTGTCACATTGAAATTACTGCTGTTATCTGAGAGTTATTCAACACACAGAAGAAACAGTCATAATGATCAAAGAAAAATGTTTATTTTTCAGTCAAAATTATTAGTTAACTAGGGAAAGGTTATTAATACATTCCAGTGTAAAATTAGACCATCTGAAATAAAAACTAATACTTTGTAATTGGAAATGAAGTTTGAAAAACACCAAAGAACCACAGTTGGTGTTATAAGACAAACCTAAATAATATCTAGTACTTGTTCTAATAAACTGAAGTACAAGAAACCTTAATTTAGCCTTTTTCTGAAACAAAATTATTTTTTTACTAATTCTAAAAATCCAGTTAACTTATTATTAAAAATGTTATATAAGCTTCACATTTAGATAAGACTGAACATACTCATAAATGTTGAAATTAGTGAAGTTAAACAACACTAACACATTGGCGAATATACAGATTCACGTTAGTTAAATTGAGTGTTTAACTACAGATTAAACAATCATTTTATATATTACAAAAATAGTGGCTGATAGATTATGCAAAACAAACATGTGAGATAAACATAAGGTTATTTGTTTTCACCATACAAAATAACTCATATGTGTAAACAGACCTTATCAATTGAAGCGATAAGAAACACTTTTTGGAGTTACATAATGTAATTTCCATTATGTAAACTGAACAAAGAATAACAAATAGTAGAGGAGAGTAGAATTCCCTGTTACAAATCAGTCTATATATATAAAAAAACTTGGAAGCTTTATCAGTCAACCGTTGGGAAAAGCGACAATCACATCTCTTATTTATAAGTAACTAAATCATACCAGGTAAGTTATTAATGTAGTCAGTAAACCTAATAACTAAATAATTTAGTACACTTATTTTAATAACGGATAATCCATAAATCAGTGAAATATGTAAGTCTGACTTAATCAGAGAATTAACGTTTATAATATATCACTTAACAATCATTTGTCATTCACGTAACTCAAAAATTTAAAACTTACTCGTGCACGTTGCATTACAATCATATATAAGACGACATCTAGAAAAAATGTAAACAGTAGTTATATGAGCAAATAACTTATCGATTCGAACTAGATAATTATGATAATTAATAAATGATGGTTTGATTGCTTCACAGTAAAGAAAGAAACAATAAGAGAGAAATTTTGATAGGTGTAGATTAGTAGCATAAAAATAACTGCACAATAAGCTTGAGAGCATTGGACTCGAACAATTCAGTGACTTTAACCTGTCAGGTTGGGTTATGTCAACATTTTCTATACAATCAAACTGAAGATTTAAGCCGAAGACATAGATTCAAACTGGGTCAGTGTCATGCAAAAAATTAGTTTTGGTGAAGTTTAAAATTGTGGGAAACCATGTAAAGAAAAATACAACTGTCAGGAATGTTAATGGGATTAATAAATAATTATGTTTTTGGTTTGGAAGTATCTATGAATTTCCTATTCCATCTTCGAGATAATATTTGGATATGTTCTAGTATTTATATTGTTCCAGTTGGTACATTCAGGTATATGCGAACTATCATCACTTATACTTTCACACATTAAACCAAAAGACGTATGCAACATGTTTCTGTATAAACGTGCCAAAAAACAACAATATTGATTATTTACATTGCCATTACTAAAGTGAAATTTTAAGTTATGTTGTTACAGCTATAAACATACATCAAAACATAACTGTGAAAGAAAACAATAGGAAACAGATTATACGATGACATGAAATTAGATATCTACCTTTTAGCGTGTAATGTAATTGATTTACCAGTTATCGGTTTATTTATCTTACTTCTAATCACAGTGTTTGTGTGATGATTGGCATTGATACCCTGTTGTCCGAAATGGAGTACATAGTGAAAGGTTCTGTTGTAACGTGTGGACTGCAGGTTTTGACAAGCAGCGTATTTATCGATCGCTTCTGTGACAGTGACACGTAAACACGTAGTAGACGACCTAGTGCCCTGATTGGTCCCGCTTCCCTGTCTAGCCCAGCCAGTTGAGTCTAGAACGCAAGTCACAGCCTCTGAGTTATGAATCATTGTATTTCAGACATACTCTATTTATATACCAAACAAACAAACCACATCGTACCATAAAATAGAAAACAACATTTACACAATATTTAACAAGTGAAACAAACACCAACCAATGGGAAATGTACATTTAAGGTCCAAGGCCACCATAGACTTAACACGATAATTATTGGTATATTTTTCCTCAGCATCCATAACAGGTTCGAACTTTACAACGTATTACTTGAAATGTAAATACTTTAATAATTAAATCACTGCTAATTCCTAGAACAATATTGGCATCTTTAATTATGCTAATATTATCGATAATGAAATATGTAAACATGAACTTAATATTGTTTTAGTGAGAGATAAACCAATCATGAACTTTATCAATGAATATTACATTATCCTTTAACTTCATCCATGTACCTTTTAAATTAGGTCAATGACAGTGAGTCAATATGATACATTCAATTAAGGAAATAAAAATTAGATTTATATTTTGTTTAAATAAAAACAAAATAAGACAGAACATGAAATTTTTATTAGTAGTATCATTATTAACAATATGAATATAAAACAGAAATATTCTAGATGTAAACATAAAAAATATAAACAATCAAAGTAAACAGAATGAAACTGAAATTACTGATTTGAAAATGTAAACAAAAATTGTTAAAACAAACATAGAACTAATTGATAATAATTAAAAAAAACGATTGTGAAATAATGAAACAAAAAAAGAAGAAAAAAGAAAGAGAATAACAACAATGACAAATTCAAGAAATAAGTGAAATTATAAACAACAAGAAAAGCATAAAATAACTAATAATGATTATGTAATGTATAATCAGAAGAGTATCAATATAAATGAACTAAACATTTAACGTATACAGAAAGGGAAAATAAACAAACAAACTAAAATACAAGATGTACACAACAGGGAAAATGATTATATTTTTGAGAAGAAATTTAATGTAAATTTTATAAAACTAACACGAATAACATGTGAATAATTGGAAATAAATTGTTTGAACCAATTAATGTTATAATTATTATTCAATTTTCTATGAATTAACAATAATTGAATTGTATTTGGTTTCATGGAATTATTCATCCACTGTCCTAAAGTAGAAAAAGATAGAGAGGGAAAGGGAGAGAGAGAGAGAGAGTAAAAAAGTACACTCACATATACACATACACAAATGTACATAAGTAATTAATTATTTAATAAAGAAATGATATAATAAAGTGATAATTAAAGACTAAATGAAACATGGAACATTATTGATACATAATACGTATTCTTAGTCAACTTAATAAAGAATAATAAATATTTACCTGTAATATAAATTTTCACTAATTATCTCTATTGAGCTTACAAGGAATGCGAAGAAAAAACAATACACTTGATGATATTCAATAATCATTTACAAATTCAAATGATAACTACTTAGAAGATAGAGAAAACTGTCATTTCTGTGTTGAATTGTCTTTATTTAAATTCTGAACAAGCATTTAATGAAGTAGTGTAACTATTTCAAGATTATTCTAAAACTAACTTTTAACATATTTACATATATGATAATATTTGTTTTGTTACTTTTTCCATTTGATTCAAGTGTGTCTGTGGCCAACTGCGTTTGATATCAATGAGGAATGATGAAATATAGTTCCTTAACTAACTTGGTTTACTTTTATTGATTTAATGGCGTTATTGCATGCAGCGGAATAAAGCAAGTCAAATATGAGAGTGCCTACGAATACATGTATTTTATACATCTTTTAGTGTAGACAACCAATGAAAGATGAGAAACGGAGAAAGTAAACGTGCCTACTCAATAAATGATGAGTAAGAGTATTACCAAGCATGAAAGAGACGCAAGTATACTGATACAAGTTCTATCATACGCATATCCTCAAGGTTATGCACATAACAGAATGACTGGAAGGATTAAAAGGTTATGATAAATCATGTAAGTGTTTAATGAAACTAATTGTTACAATTTCGTTCGATTTACAGAAACTTTAGTGAAAACTTCAGGTTTGTAACGTTTGCGATCATAACCTAAACTTGTTCTATTTTCGGCTGCATTTTATATACATGATATTGTTGTCATATATCCTGTACGTAATAATGTTTCTGATTCGCTATGAGACATGATAAATCCACATTACCATCGCTATCATCAGACATTCCCTAAAATAAAAACATACCACATGCTTTACTAGACACCACTGGAAAATTAAAACGATCCCAACAACGTCCATACGTGGTTTGTATAGGCTTAAAAAGTTCTTGACCTATGCTATTCGACCGCAAACTTCACGTTAGGAACATTTGGTTGATGTGCTTCTGATCGATTGCTATGTTTTAAGAGATTACGAGATCACCTAAATCGGCGAACGGAATGAAAGATCAGCGACATAGCGACAAAACAAGTTAACTTTTCCGATGCGCCCCAGCTCCTCTAACTAGAGGGAAAAGACTTGGTTGAGATGAGGGAAAGGTATATTCCACAAGCAGCCAGAAACAAGAACAACAAGCACACAACTCAAGCGTATATATACAATATAAAAATGCTCTTCGGAAACAGCACATTAAAAGAGGCAACCAACCAATGACATTTAGGGTCCTTTCATGTGGGAAATACAATCTGAAAGTAAAAATAGGCGCTTTTGGAGTGAAAACGAGAAATTCAAATTTCCAAGATAAGGTTACAAAAATAAGACTTTTGCCAAGTGATTTTTGGGGATCTAGCATCCCCAACATCAATATAGTGGTACAGGTGGGAAACCTGGTAGACCATTTTCTCGAAGAGACACCCTATGAGGAGCAACAGCTATACAATACACCTTGAACTCGAGTGAGAAGCGATTACAGTTGTTAACCGCCTGGAAACTTACGCGACAGGACATCGTCCCAATTCCTGAGATCTAAGAAACAACTAATGGGATCATATTAGCTAGGTGAGGTGGTTTCGAAGCACAATTAGACAATTTGAGACTTTATCTTTGCCTATGTTGGCCCTGTTCATAAGCTGTTATAACAATCGTACGAAGGACTAATTTAGGTGACAGGCTTTGTTAACATGTTTTACCATCAACAAGAACGCCAAGATGAAGATTAATTACAATCACCGTATTTAATGACACAGAACAAGATAATGAGGTTGTCAGTGAGAAATCAATTTGTTTCCCCCTAGTCAGCAAGACCTGATCCTATTCTCAATAATCCACCAACATTTTTTCAACAGTACTTCCCCCATCATGTCCGATATTTGACCAACTGTATCGACTCCATACTCTTGTCTTTTGGTGTCACCTATATGTCTACTTAAAACAACTGTGGTTAAAAGTAAGACAACTAGAGATATTACATCCATATTCTAATTAAAGTATGTGCAAAAGGATATGAACTAAGGATCTAATTGTTTAAAACAAACCACTAACCAATAAATACATCAGGTTATTCGACAAAATCACAGAATAAAAACATAAATATTCAATTTATTCCACCCTAAAACTTTGCTTTGTTTCTTAATCTCTCACATAAAAGCGGTGTAGAACAGTTATAAATTTACAATCGACTGGATGTCTATAATTAGATTAAAATACTCAGAAAAAGTAATGTACCCAATACTTGGAACAAAACTGTGAAACATTGCATTATCTCTTTGGATAGGATATTAAAATAAGATGTAGACAACTGAAAAACACCAATATAAAGGAATAAATAGTTCAACATTTAATTCCAATGATAGATTTAATCAAAACTTACTCGTCTGATATCATTATTTTGGAATCTTCTGTACAGCCAAGATCAAATGTAACATGAAAAGACGGGTGACTTTGTTGTTCGTTATTAAGTATTGATTTAGTCATTTTTAGTGTCATACCTTGAAGTTATAACAAAGAATAGCATTTACACAAACACATTTTAAAAGAATAATTACTGAAAATATTTAATGAGAACACCATGTTTAAAAAAAAGCTTTGATACATGGGGTGTCCAGTAATTTCTATAATTTAACAATTAAGTAAAACCTTCAAATACACCTAGTCATACACAGTGAACAAAATGAAAATATTTGAATGAAAACCCCGTTGTATAGTTTATTCTGAAAGAATGTAAATTATGGTCAAATTCACAGATCAACTGAGGACATAGAGCATGAAATAACACATTAGTAGTACAATTATGTGTAGTGCAATGAATGTATAAAATAATAATATCCGGGAGAGATAACACAAACGGTATCAAGAGATTAAAACGAAATAAATGAATAACCAACAAATAAGTGTGAAGAATGTAACAACTATGGGCTACCAACACAAATTCTCAAGTAAACAATTTAAAATTCCTAACCCTCATTTAAAAGATGTAACATGTCACGGTGAGCTGTTGATAACTATATGTAACTCGATAAACAGTTACAAACTGATAACAAGAAATAAGTTTATATGTGAAGGTGATAAATTTGAATGATCAACACTGAACAGAAAATAGATATTCACTAGACTATTTATATCGGTCTTTAATAAATAGCATGTTATTTAAAATAAAAATTGCCAAGTGATGCTTATAAACGAAAAGAATAATACTAAAAAAGGTTAAAATAGGACTAATTGAACCATCGTGAAGAAAAAAACAACGCAAAAGTAACGAGTCAACAAGAATATTGTAAAGAAATCACATAACGAATTTGTAATTTATTTGATGGTGAAGATTAACAATTGAATATTCCTAATAGAAAATTGCGAGTATTATTCATATTTTTGTTAAAAGTACCAAGTACAGTAGAAAAGTATGGTTGTTGACTTTCAATTTTTTTTACCCGTGATGAAAAATGGATACCCATCTACATCCAAAATAGATATAATTGAGACTTATAACACCCGTTCTCCAAATAACTGATCTTTAACAATTATGAAATGTTTTTTTTCTGATAGAATTTATAATTAGTAATATAGCACACTATGAGTTTCATAGTGTACTTGAATTATTCACGAAAAATAAAGTATTACTTTTTACTAGCAATCCAATGAATAAAAATATGAAATTACTAACAAACATTTAGTTTATAGATCAATTCACACTAAATGTGAAATGATAAACATTCCTTATATAAATTAATCTTTTTTACATAAAATTACTCTGGTAGCTTAACTATTGATAAAAGATGGAGGATACAAGTAGCGTAGCATTATATTTCATTATTAAAGAAATATGGAATTTATTCGATGACTTTTTTTGAAAGACAAGAATCTGTCACATTGATCATGAAGTTAAATATTCCCGGGGAAAATGCCTAGATGGAAAATGTATACACAGTGAATACCATGTAAAATATGATTGATTTTATGGACATCTCAGCGCTTCATAAACTAAAATGTTTGTGAATGCCATCGAGTGAACTAACTTTAGAACTTCAGTTTGCAATAAATAAAAGATCTATTACATTGTTGACAAGCAGATTTCAAGAAGGTTAGTCGAATTTAAAACTAACTATTACTTAGCTGACGGAGTCAATAAATATAAACCTACATTACCATATACTGTTGATATTTAATAGGGGGTTAAATCTCGCGCAATTTACGTAAAAAGGTTATTAAATCAATAAATTTTAATTAAATAACAGGACGTTTAGATGAAGATGGATAGTGGTTAGCAGTGGAATTTAGGAGGCACATTTTGTCCTCTTTGAAACTTATCAGCAGTTGGATGTATTCGCCATATCCTAGTGTTAATGTTCACTCAAAGACTCGAACCTAATACTTTTGGCTTCAAAAATTTTGATCATGTTAAATTATTTATTTGGTTTTCCATACACTGATGATAATACATTAACCTCTTTTCCTTCTTAGGCGATGATGTTCACTTATGAATATATACATTCAGTAATGTCATAGCAATAGAGACAATGACCCAAACACTAGATGTTGCAGAAAATTCTTGGTATTTATTCAACATTAAACAAGCTGGATTTTATCATGTTCATTATGCTGACAATAACTGGGAACCATTGACAGGACAGTTGTATAAAGACCATCATGTAAGTAGTAACCGTTATTTGAAAAATTATTAAGCTTAATCACCTCCAAAGCCTATACAAAGATAATTAATTTGATTGTGAATTATCTGTTAATAGTTTATGGAATTGAGCTTGTATAGACGTCACAATAATCCATGATGTTGCATAACCCTTCATCCATTGTCTGAGGCGGGTAACTGATGATGCGCACTACTGAAAAGTCCCATACTACGACGAAAAGGTTATCCAGTGCTCTCAGGTTTTCAGTGTTGGTCTAGCTTAGATTGACTCGTGATTTCGACTGTGAGAATAATTATTTGTCCTTCTTATTCTGAGCCTCGATCAAATGTCAGATAATGATAGTATACTTGTTCACTCACAAAACACTACATATTTTCTAATAATATATCATACATGGATGATTATATTACCACTGAATTTCATTGAACTAGTCTGATCACGAAAATTAAGATCTGCATAATGTCTTACAGCAAAGAAGATTGAAGGCACATATTCAACAGACCCTACTCAATATTACTATTGTTACTGAAACATAACGTTTCACATAAATAATATAACTCCAAAGATCCTAACATAAAAATTTTTTGTTGTGACAGATATAAATCAATTTGGATTGTATAACTCAATTTTCATTTCATTTTATGCAAGCATAAAGCAGTGAAATGTCGAATCACTTAAAGAACAACTGACGACATTGTAATTCAATTAACAATAATGACTAAAAAATAAACATTCAATTAGTTACTACTACTCAGTGAATAATTGTTTAAAATGCAAATAATAAATTTCGCTAACAATAATTGAATACCCACAGTTTCGTGAATACGATTTTCAGTTATACTTGTTGTTGCATGAAGATAGAAAATAGTGTTCGATTGCCAAAACTAAATTAATCAGAAAAATGACTGAAACTATAACTTAGTACGTAAAACCGCCGACTGGCATTAGTCAGTAGATTTCTAAATCTAAGGTTAATTTAAAAAACCACCGATGCTTTTAGAAAGTCATTAGAGTATTTTGATAAGGGAGATAGGCTAATTGAACATATAGTAAATTTTTAATCATTTAACGCACATTTTATTAATACTACACAATTTCCACTCTTAATATATGATAGTGACTGTAGGATATGGAAGTCCGCGAAAAAACTAAAATCAACAACAGAAAACTTAAACTGAGTAAGTCCAAGAACAAAGATTATGACTAGTCAACGAAATTTACTCGGCTTTATTGCAAAATGCATGAAATGTAGGTTTTGATAACTAAGAGTACCAGAGAATCTTGAAAAAGGATCTACTGTTCCAAGCTTTTGTATACCATTTAAAAAAAAGGCAACGGTAAAGATGAATAAACATACTCAAATAAAATAAAACGGATAAAAAGTGCTTACCTATATCTTCAGTTTTCGCAGGCTACAATATAGAATGTTTAAAAAAGAGCGAAAGACAGGTATTTCAACTTACAAAACTTGTATAATACCGACCAAAGAAAACTTAAGGACATAATTCTATTAAGATAAACTAAATACTATTCAGAATTATTGCATATGTAAACTACTATTATTACTGATGGTGTAGTGATTACTATAATTATAAGACACCTATCTATACGATCAGTTGTTGCATTTATCCTGACTCTTGAATCCGCCTACCCACATCGACTTTTTTAAAATACTGATATCAGATAAATAGTTCTTACAATTCAAATCAGTAAGACGAGAGAAAAAATGCACAAGCCAGTGAGAATAATTATACCAACAGAAGTAAAATATTAAAAGAATGAGAGATACTATTGAAGACGAAAACTGACGAATACATATGATTTTCAATATTTCGAGTAAATGGATCTCTGTAGCAGTGCTATCGATTTTGATTTACCTAACTTGGTATGAATACTGGTTGCAATATAATGATTTTATTTTGTAAAAGACAATCTATTTTCGAAAAACGTTTTTATATATTTGAATAGGTCAGTCAGTCAGCTACAATTGAATTTTATAACGAGATAATTGTTTCTAAGGTTACTTTATATTATTACTATTATTACTATTATTATTATGTCGTTTTGTAATGCTTGTAACAAAAAAATTAAATTGAACTATTAAAAGTACAAAAATTAAATAGAATATTTGAAATTTCATAACGTGTACGATTAGGTCGATATTACTTTTCAAGTAACCGAGTAGTCCATTTTTATAAGACTTGTGTTGCTCTTATTTCCAAATCAAAATCACATCTTTATTTACATTCAGAAAAATCTGAAGAAATCTACACTTCTTAATGCACGTACTATGCATAACCAATACACACATAAATAATACATGCTACATGATTGGATGACAATTTTAAAGTAGCTTGGCTATTAATACATTGATCTGATTTTGCATGGCTTCTTTATATTTAAATACAAGCTAAAGTTATGATGACTGAATGATTCCATAGTAGAGAAAATGATGAGTCTCTACTTATAAAGCCAAGCACAGAAGACAAATAATTAGCAACACAATCAGGAACATTTTAAATCAAGATAAGGCATCACTTTAAGAAGTCACTGGTTGTTGGTTTTTGTAATGTAGGTACTTAAAGAATGCGTAATTACCGTAATTAATTGTAAGAGATATGGCTAAAAACTGGTCTCAATGACACAGATGCACTCACTCTTCAATCTCTCTTAGATCTTGAGCTTTAAAATTACCTTATATCTTTTTATTCCGCAAATTAATTCTTCCTCATATTATATTGTCTATCCTTAATGTTTCCTACTACCACTGATATTATTATTACAACATCTACTACACTGAGATTTCTCTTGATAGTTTTATCTATGTTAATACATGTAGCAAGCTGAACCGATGCACAAGTCCTACGTTGCTTATGATTGACTGACTTAAAGAGAGAGTATAGCACACTTATAGTAATTGGCAGAAAATGTTAAATAGGTAGTATTTGTAGGATAGATAGTTTAAGGAACACATTTTGTACCTCGATCACGTCATTTTAAATAATCTACTACATTCTTGCCAATTAATAATGTCATTATTAAATATTTAAAAATGTAAAATAACTAACTAACCTGAAGATCGAAACCTAACTTAAGAAATTTAAGACCTTGTTCGGTAATATGATCCGGATGACTAGAAAGCCAGCTAGTATAATTGGATAAATTAGACGTTGATGTTTGTTTATCTATGAACAATTGTCGACAATCTGTAAGTGATGTTCGAAGTAAAGCTAATTCATCATCTTCAAGTTTATTATAATCAATGTCCTGATCTTTATCATGTATGATGTGAACATCATGATTATCTCTTTGAAACGATGTGTGACCATAAGACACTTCATCTTCGGAATCCTTGGACAATGGCATTCCTGACAAACGACGATAAAGTCTATAACTGACTGCTTCGGCTGAATCTAAAGAAGTTGATGTTAAAGTAGACGGTAACCAGGCAGGAATGCGAGTCAAATATTCAGTCTGAATTAAGGGAATATAACAACACAAATACAAGTTAACAAGGAGAATATTATGAACTATTTGTACTAAAAAATAAAAAGTGTTGCTGTACTTTAGTCTATTAAACGCAAACATGTCATAAAGCTTTGCTCAGACAAAAAGTCTAATGAACTAAAAAGAAGCATAAAATAAATTGCTTAAAATTAGTATTATTCATCGTATATGATATAGAAAAGCATAATTTGATGATAACTAGTTATATGTACTGGATATCCATTGAAAACCTGGAAACACTGAACAACCATTTCGTTCTAGTATGGGACTCCTCGGTAATGTACATCCATGATTTCGCACGCAGGACTCAAATCTACGACCTTCGATCTCGCGCGCAAACGGCTATTAATTAGTGTAAGACCATAAATCTGTAAACAATCACGATATATAGGTTTATTAATATTAACTTATCAAACTAGCTCATTGAATAACATCACATAGTTATATTCAATATCAATTCTTTAAATCTACAAGAGTTAATACAGCTGTCCCTTGTCTCTTAAATACAATTTATTTACTTTTAAATACACAAAAGATAACTGTATAAGACTCAAAATAAAAACTATAAGAATAACATTCATCAAATACAAACATATAAAATCGAATTTATGCAACGAATTTTATGAATTCTATATGTCAAATATTCAGAAAATAATAACTTATCAAGAAGAATAGGTTATAGATATAAAGCTTCAATATAATAAGTAAATTTGGCTTTACCTCTAACCAACTTGGTTTAGTATTTTCAGAATCGGAAACACATAAATGTTCATCAGATATACGATGAACAAAACGTGATGATGAGAGATCAACCCGAGCTTTAGATATATTTTCATTATATAATGTAAGATCGTTGGTATCTGATAAGGTAAAACGTCGAGCGGATTTGAACCCTCCCATTTTACCTGAAATCTAAAAACATGAGTACGTTATGTAGGTTGAATATCTTCTCAGCAAAGAATATATATTTTACTGTCCAAAATCGAATTTGTGCGGTATCGAGTCATTAAAGAAAATGAAGCTTCAAAAGTAAAATGAACTATAATCCTCCGGGGTTAGTTTCTATATTACCTGATTAGAAGATGTAGACAACCAAAATGATTCAAAATGTTAAGGTAATCACTCATGACTGGAATTACAAAGATATAACTTTATAGAAATATTGTACAGAATTAAATCTAAGGACGATTAACTATAATTACAAATACGTTCATTTCAAAGAAATAAATGTCAAGAACATATTCGTTTCTTGATCATTAAGATTAGTTTAACTGCATAATGGTAACTGATCATCCAATTTGTATTTAAAAAGGAATTATTATGATTAGCATTGTACATAAGTATCTACAAGACATAGCTGATAGATATGACATTTAGTGGGATTAAAAATAATAGATTCTCAAAGAAAAAATATTAGTTCGGTAGATTTTATGGGTGAACTCAATGTGTTGGGATTTAGATGGTGGTTGGAGGTAGTCAACAGGAAACCCTGGACCCGGGTTTCGTGCTACTTGGCACTCGTCAGCAAAGTGTACCTGTAATCTTGAGGGAACTGGTGCTCCCTGACGTTACCACTGAGCGATCCGAGCCTCGACTGACCTCCTGTAGGACTGAGATGTAATCACCCAGTGATCAATCAATTGTGATTACATCTCAGTCATACAGGAGGTCAGTCGCGGCTCGGATAGCCCAGTGGTAACGTCTCTGACTGTGAAGCTGGGTGACACGAGACCGAATCCGTCAGGGGGCACCGGTTCCCTCAAGATTACAGGTACACTTTGCTGACGAGTGCCAAGTAGCACGAAACCCGGGTCCAGGGTTTCCTGTTGACTACCTCCAACCACCATCTAAATCTCAATATATAGTGCCCGCAGTGTCGAGTCACTTAGACTGGTGGCCACATTGCAACATGATCGATAGCATTCGATCTGCACTAATAAGGACTAGACAAGCATGACATTGATCACCACCCAGTGATCAATCAATTGTGAACTTAATGTGTAAATTAAATGAACTTACTGTTTTTATTGCTGAACTATTACCTTGAACCATACTCGCAACACGTCTGGTTTGGTGTGACTTCAACCACATTGATTTCGGTGTAGGTGTTTGTGTACCAACGGCAGATTTAACAGTTTTAGAAGTTTTTCTAGTTTCATACCAAATACTGGTCCATAAACTATTCAGTAAGTCCAGTGATGGACTATCATTTGCTTTTAGAGAGCTTTGACAAAAGGATCTCAGAAATTCACATCGTTCATGAGGATTTAAAGGTAAAAGCCACTTCTTCAGAGAAGAAATAACATCTTTTAGAGCAAATTCAGTAGCATTCCTCACCTTATCTTTCAGATCCGATGAACACTGAAAATTAGAAAAAACAAAGTACTAAACATGAGATTTGTAGAATGTGGTGAGGATAAACCTATACTGTTAAAAGCAAAATTATGTTGCAAGGTATTTATTGATTCTTGACTTATTATTGGCAAAAATACTTTCTTTTAATAAAAGTAGAACATGAATAACTACAAGTTAATTTGTTCGACAGATATAACAGGATAACACAACAGTAAATATTATTCAACAAACATCTAACGATGGAGGCATGAAAGATACACTTATCTTCCAAGAACCTATTCCGCATTCCAAAGAATCAAGGGGAAAAAACACAACCAACATTGGAATAGGACTATGAACTTCAGATGACACTGATCTTCATTTGTCAGCCACCTCTGGTCATTTAGATGAAGAATCACTAAACTACATCAACTCAAAAACACATTCCATTTAAAACTAGCCTAAACCTCTATAGTAAAAATCCATGCGCAATCGTCTACTGAACTACAGTCTAACACTTCATTACTGATTGTAGGTTATTATCCTTTCCATTAGATCTTTCTGAAATGTTTGTCGAAAAACGCGTGGTGTAAAATATAACTTGTAAGACCCAGTTTCAAAGTCCATCCTAAAAATGCGTGATTTAGAACCATCGTGTTGACTAACAAATACTGTGTTCACGTACAACACAGATAACCAAAACTTTAATGCCCTAAGTGTCAGACAAAGAAATACCTCATTTTTATTAGTAGTTCCGTATATAGCTGAACTTCAGCAAAATGGAAATAAGATGAAAGCTTTCTTAGTGAACTGTTTTAAAGAAAATGTAATTAACATCTTGGACTTCAGAAAACTTCATATACATAATCTAGTGAGCACTTTACAGCCCTTTACTTTGAATCATTTGCATACTGACAAGATGTAAGATGAAAACACAATAGCATCTTTAATGTATACATATGCCGAATGGCCAGAGACTTATTAAGGAACGCAATTCCTATCGTTCAATTGTGGACAGAATCTGTTACCCATATTTCAACTGTTTTCATTATAATTTTGAAAACCAGTAATGAAATAAAATGTTGACGTCAATAAAAGTAGTTTCACTTTCTAAAACTATATTCCCAAAGCAATGCGTTTGTGCATTAAATTAATAATTTGTAACCCCGACTTCAACGGCGATGAACAAGACTGGCTCCCATTACTTTCTTACTTGTCGCTAACTAAAGACAGGTTGAACTTTTTCATGAGCTTTAATGATAGATACTCAAGAGGATTTAATAACCTCTGGTACTCGTTAGCAATGTTACTGATTGTCATCTTTAGGTTTTGATCAAAACGGCTCGAAAGCTGTGTTCGAATATCAGCAAAGTTTTGCGACTACAAGCTCCAAATGATAATTAACGGTTCGAACTGGCAGCTCATCAGCAACTATGGTTGTAATCAATCACATTGGCGAGTTATAGTGTAAAGCCAACTGATTCCCTTAGTTGACAACTGAGAATAATGAACTCTCAAACTTAAGAACTCATCCCTTACTGTTCTTGCACAATGGAATAGACCAAAAAGTCTATCGAATTCCACCAAGTAGACTTACTTAGTGGCAACCATTAAAGAAGTAATCCTGACGTTAGGCGCATAATTTAAGACGAAAATGAGATGTGTCATCGATAAGACTTTAAACATTCATGTGCCAGTATAGTTGAGACATGTGTTATGATGCTCTGAAAAAAATTCTGTAGATAATCCGGTTGCTAGAGATTGAGTAAAGTAACCTCTCAATTACTCCGACGATTGATTCGAACAGTTTGTTAATCTATTCTTCTGAACTTTCTTATGCAATAATGTCGCGGACACATGACTAGACTAAAAATGGTTTAGTCTCGATAGTTTACACAGTACAGTGTATTCACCACAAAGCATGCTTTGACGAACACTGAATCAACTGAAATGCTTGAGATAGAGTTCATCTAGCCAGTTATACTGGGACATTGGTTGCAGATAAGTATCTTAGAAGAACTAGATCCATAAATAACTATTTTATGTACAATCAATACTACTTACAAACTATGCACTATATTAGTTAATGTTGAAGAAAACTGACAATTGACCCACACCTAAAGTTACTTGACAGATCTTGTGATAGGTGTATAAAACTCTTGTTAATGTATTTGAAATGACTGAGCACAACAGTTTCATCGATGTTCTGTAAAAAAACAGACTGATTTGTTGTGGAATAAATACCTTACTCACAGTGTACTGAGACGGTTAGGTGAATAAAATTCATTAAAAGACATGTCACTGATTTTGAATATTGTCGTGGAATCATTTGGTAAGAGCTATTTCTAAGTAACCCTAGTTCAGAAGTAACCTTACACTCACAAAACTACATGTTATCTTAATTCTGTAAATCTACAAATAAAATTTCGCCATTAAATATTAAAGAAATTTAATGTATTTAACAACCTTAAAATAATTGGGAGATTTAAATACTTCTCATTTAAAGAAGTATGAGATCAGAGAGAGGAAAAATATAAACTGAATTTATCCCAACTTTGATGAAAACCCTGGTTAACAAAGTGAAAACTCATTTGATAAAGAAATGGAACAATAGTCCTAGAAGCGTTTCCCCCAACACTTATTGTAGATAACTATGATAGTTAGCTATCGTACATTTATATCAATTACAGGTAATTTATGTTATCTGGATACCATGATGTTCTCAAAACAATAGTGATTCACTATTTTCACATCCGATCGAAAGGTAATATTTTTTGGATGATTAACGTAACATATGTCAGAATTTATGTTAACTATAATTTATAGACTTTGACATAAATCTTTCATTTGAAAAAACCCTGTTTCCATTCTCTTCTCAGCTTTCTCGTCTAAACTATATTCATATATTTAGCTTATATGTAAATAATTATTTGAACAATTTTTTTTATTCTCTTACAATTATTGTTTACAATCCAGATTTAATCAAAACTCTTCTTATATATTTTGACTTGAATAATTTATACTACTATTTCTAGATTGTAAGCACGTGAAAAAATCCACAAAATTAATCCATTTGTATTGCTCTATTAAGATCGTTGTTCTTGACTTTATTGAAATCCATAAATGAGAAAGCCTGTATAAAATATACAAATCTCTTGAAATAATTCTGTATGTAATTAAACTTTAACGCTTTACATACATAACTCTGTCCAACATTTTATAGACTAGATGTCAGACAGTCAGATAATACAGTTTTTAAATTGATAATGTAAGATTTTCAGTTCGCTGTATGATTTCGTATGTGATTAATAAGTTGCTTAATTTTATGTACTCAAACAATATCCATTTATTTGAGATCATGAATAAAAATATTATTTAATGTATTTGAGTACACAGTTTAATATATTTATTTTTTGATAAATAGCTTTCAGAGAATAAAAGCCAGTACAAAAACAATACTTTTTATCGAACCACTGAATCACTATACATCAAATCAGTAAGATAAAGGAATAAATAATTCTGTAAGTTGAAATACAAAAGCAAAAGACGTCTTCAGGGTTTTTTTCGGAAAGAGTAGGTTGGGTACTAATTGTTTATTTGGCTACACCAAAAACAGACCCACCTTGGGAGTTGTATCAAGTGAATGTGAACTCTTAGTATTTGTTGAAGAGATATTATTGTTTGTGTCTGACTCCATAACAACATTGTTACAATCATCATTATTGTCGATATCATTCTTGGAATTGTTATCGGAAGTTCCAGTATCACTTGGAGACCTCAATTGCTGAAGAAACTGTACCAATAAAGGTAGCAGGATTTTACGTGTCATTCTGACATTATTCACAATTGCTATAAAATGACTGAAATCAGGGACAGACTGAGGAAGTAAATCTAGATCAAGCTTCGGATTCAAGAGAAATTTAATCAGCTATAGTAAATAGGAAAAAATAAATAATGAATAAAAGTAGAGTTAAGTGCAAAAGATTTAAGTTCATTTTGACAATTCAAAAGCAATTAACCCTTATCGTTATTTTATTGGTGGTAATCATTTAATAGCTTCTTCGTAGTTTTATACACAATGAATTACTGAAATTAGCAGCCTGACATGACTACACACCCTACACTTTAAAAATAACCTTGAACTGACAGCTAATCGTGAATATCTAAATGAACTTAAGTATTAACCTAAGAAACTTTATAGAAAATGGAAGAGAAAGAAATTGTAGTAATGTAATGTGGTAATTGAGAATAAGAATTGTTTAGTTCTCTATGACATTCGGTTGTAAAAACTTGATTAGCAAATTATGTTATTACATTAAGACTTTTATGACTTGAATAGGTTTTATCATAGAAAAATTCCAGTACATTACTGACTGACATGGATTGTATAAATAATGACCTACAGCATGAAACTTTGGTAAACGAAAGTGAACTAGATTTCAAAAATGAGAAATAACTCACTAATTATTTTCATTCAATTTCTTCAAATAAGTACTTTGAAACAAAATAGAAGGGAGTTGAATAGGGCAATACATTAAACACATCAAATTATTGGGCATAAAATCTGTGGCAAACAGCTGAAAAAATTATCTTGCCCATTTTCAGTATTAAGGTCGAAAAGTTCTGTGAAAATCAGTCAACAATAATAAGTTTTCACACTTGGATGGAATGATAAGTACTCTCCGTAGAAAGTAAAAAAATAATAAATATATCACAATAAAACCTATGAAACAGAACATGTAGGAGTATAACAAATAATCCTAGTACTGATGAGAAATACTTCCTAATATTGGTTTAAAGTGTTATATTTAGTAAGTTTAAAATAAATTACATTAAGTACAAACTCCCTATACATAGTTCCACAAATAAACACAGACGAGAATTAATGAGATGAAACTAAACGTAAATACTTGCATCACTATAACGTCCAGCAGGAAAATTCATATTATACAAAATCAGAGCTCTTCTTCGAAAAGTTGTCAACTCCGATGAAGGTATCGATGAACTTTCCGATAAGGGATAACCAACAGTAAGACAAACAAGTAAATTGGCATTGTATGTAGCACATATCTGATTGGCTGCTTCAGTAAAGTCAGGAGAATTAATTAACACCTAATGAAAGAAATAACAGCCTAAAATTTAGCTTTACAATAGGGGGACTTGAATAAAAACTTTATGATTAATAAAGCAGAAAATTTCACGAACAGAACGAGTTTATTTGAGAGTATTATTGACGAAATGTCTGGAAAAATAGTGTAACCTTTATCTGTCCAAATCAAAATAGGCAGAGAATGTTTCGAACATACAAATCAGTATTATGAAGTCAAATGACTTGAACATCGAAGTATTATTTTTATTTATTGGATGCCAACGTGATGCAAATATCATACACCTCCAAGTTCCATATAGCACTTTCTTGTTAATATGAAAGTATAACAGGTAGATGGAAACTGAACCAACTTAGTCGCGTATTGTCTCATTGGTCCTTAGTCATTTCGCAAACATTTTATATCTAAAAATGTTTTGATTTCACCATTAGTGGCATTTTTCCAGAATTTAGGAAAAAACCGCTTTCAAATTAGAATTGACAAATCTTGGAGACTTAACAAACTTTAAGCAAACTTTATTGAGCACAAACAATTATTGACGACTTTCAATGCACTGTAATCCACTAAACAGGATTTATGAATTCTCCCACTCTTAATTAAAATCTATAGTTCAATGCAACCATGCAAAGTAAAATGGACTCTAACAAGTAAACAGACCGATATAAATTGATGAACCATTGGAAACCAAAAAGTACCAACCAAATGTTTAGTTTTAGTATGGGATTCCATATCTAGTCCTTATCCAGACCAAGATGAAGACTAACTCTGAAATGAACAATCTCCACAAACCGCTTATGTTGCCAAGATGTGTTCCTATTAATGACCTAGCTTTAAGAAGTATTCTCGAAGTTTTAAAGGAAAACTGATTGATTAAGTCAAGTGAACTTAATCCTTGTATCAGAATGCAGACAGATGGTTATGAAATATTGTGAAATGAATGTGGTTAAAAATGTAGACCACTAAACTCAAAACGACAGGCCCAAAACGTATTGCGCTTATCGCAAAACGTAAGTCTTCAGTTTAATTTCTGGCATGATTTTAAGTGACTACTAACGAGTTCCAAACAGGAGGTATCTGTCCAGTATCATGTCTTAGTTTTCAATGATTCTGTAACTGATGTTCGTGAGTGGTGGGAGCCAAATCCCAATGGAAATTACGTTTTACATCAATTAAATAAACTGACTGCTTATTGTTTATCATTCAAAAGATAAGAATACTTTGTAACAGTTCTAAATGTAAACCCATAAAAAGGCTTAAACTGATAGACAACTACCAGTTGGCACTAATAAACACTGTCATTCAACTCACAGCTTACCGTAAAATCAACTCCAGATACAGTAGAGCACACAAATTGGAACGCATCTTTATTTGGACTAGAAACAATTTTCATATCACGACGTAATAAATTCCATGTAGATAGCCCTGCACAAAGATAATTCATAAATAAAAATGAACAATTATAGAATTAATCGTAACTACGGCTTATATGTAGGGACATTTTGAGATTTTCCTGCATTTATTTAAAAGTGGTTTTAATTTTTATTAGTGTTTTGTTGTGAAGTTTTATTGCACCAACATATTAACACTAGACCTTATATACTTTACACATAACCATGTAGTAATTAGATTCTCTTCAAAAGTAATGATGACTAAATGATCTTGAACAATCATCTACTGATTAATGCTACAAATTTAAATACATATGGGCTTAATTCCAATATGAAATATTAAATTACAGTTTTTCAAATCTTCACCCAATAAGTCTAGTTAAGTTTAACATGAAATGGACAAAACGATTGAACTAATAATTCAAAAGTATTTTATCAATGCAAATTTGCCTAGATTATACGATACAACAAGACAAATCAGTGTTGTGATACAAGCATAAAGAAGACAAGTCTCTGAGGTTTAATACACACAGGATGAGTTTATACGAGTTAAAATACCACTCAGACATCAGTGTGAAATAGAAGGATTCCATAATAAAACTGACAAGTACTAGTCAGAAATAAATAAAGCAGAACTATCCTTTATTTTCAACTCCGCCTGTAGCTCTTCTAGAGTTACTGCCGGTCCCAAGCCCGGGTAAAGGAGGAGGGTTGGGCATGGGGTTAGCGTCCCCATCCCGTAGAAAACTAACTAGCTAAAAAACGCTTACCAGAAAAAATTATTCAGACCATTTTAACTCTGCCCTAGGAGTTAGAAGGTCTTCATTTAGAAGAATTATGACGCCTCATAATGAAAGCCGATCTCCTTCGGAAGCCACGAGGCCGATACCCCTTCTAACAACCAGAGCGACAATTTTTATAGGTACATGGGACGTCCAGACAATGTGGGAGACCGGAAAGACCAGTCAAATAGCAACGGAAATGAGGAGATACAAATTGGCAGTACTGGGAATCAGCGAAACCCATTGGACCCAAGCTGGACAACAAAGGCTAAATACGGGAGAGATGCTACTATACTCCGGCTACGAAGAGGAAAATGCTCAACACACTCAGGGAGTTGCTCTAATGCTGTCCAAAGTAGCACGAAATGCACTTGTAGGATGGGAATCTCACGGATCCAGAATCATCAAAGCATCATTCAAAACAAAGAAGGAGGGAATCACAATGAATATTATCCAATGTTATGCACCCACCAATGATAGCAACGACGACATTAAAGATCAATTCTACGAGCGACTGCAGTCAATCATAGAGAAGTGCCCAAGAAAGGACCTCACCATTCTAATGGGAGATCTAAATGCCAAAGTTGGAATAGACAACACCGGATATGAAGATATCATGGGACGACATGGACTGACTGGGTGCGAGAAACGAAAATGGGTGGAGATTTGCAAATCTGTGTGCATTCAACAAATTGGTCATAGGTGGCACAATATTTCCACACAATTGTATACACAAAGCTACATGGATCTCACCGCACCACACCACAGAGAACCAGAGAGATCATATCTGCATCAATAAAAAATTCGGAAGGACAATGGAAGATGTGAGAACCAGGAGAGGATCTGACATAGCTTCAGATCACCACACCACCTAGTTGTGGCCAATTTAAAACTAAAGCTAAAGAAGAACTGGACAACTGGACAAACAGCACTAAAAAAGTATAATACAGAATGCCTTCGAGATACTGACAAACTCAACGAATTCAAACTAGCTCTCAACAACAGGTTCCAAGCCTTACAGGATCTACTGAAGGAAGAAGAAACTACTATGGAGGACAACTTGAAAAGTATCAAAGAAGCATTAACTTCAACGTATCAAGAGGTTCTGGGTCTAAAGAAGCACCATCATAAGGAATGGATCTCTATAGAAACACTGGACAAGATCAAAGAAAGGAAGAACAAGAAGGCAGCAATTAACAACAGCCGAACACGAACAGAGAAATTCCAAGCAGAAGCAAACAAACAAGTGAAGAAAATCATTAGAGCCGACAAGAAATACGTGGAAGAACTAGCAACGACGACGGAAAAAGCTGCAAGAGAAGGAAATATGAAACAACTTTACGGTACAACGAAGAAACTATCAGGGAAATACAGTAAGCCCGACAGACCGGTCAAAGACAAAGAAGGCAAGCCAATCACTGAAATTCAACAACAGCGGAACAGATGGGTAGAATACTTCGAGGAACTCCTGAATAGGCCGGCTCTAATGGTTCCACCGGACATCGAAGCAGCACACACAGATCTTCCCATAGACGTCAACCCACCAACGAAGGCAGAAGTCAGAATGGCTGTCAGACAAATCAAGAACGGGAAAGCAGCGGGACCCGACAACATACCAGCTGAAGCACTAAAGTCAGACATCGAAGTAACTACAAACATGCTTCACCTTCTATTCAAAAAGATTTGGGAGGAGGAACAAGTGCCGATGAACTGGAAAGAAGGGCACCTCGTCAAGATGCCAAAGAAAGATCTGAGCAAATGTGAAAACTATAGAGGCATCACACTACTGTCAATACCAGGGAGTCTTTAACAGAGTGTTGCTGAAACAAATGAAAGATTCAGTAGACGCCCAACTTCAAGATCAACAGGCTGGATTCCGTAAGGATCGGTCGTGCACAGACCAGATTGCAACACTACGGATCATCGTCGAATAATCAATTGAGTGGAACTCGTCACTGTACATCAACTTCATTGATTATGAAAAAGCATTTGACAGTGTGGATAGGAGAACGTTGTGGAAACTTCTTCGACACTACGGAGTTCCTAAGAAGATTGTCAATATTATCCGGAACTTATATGACGGACTACAGTGCAAGGTCGTGTATGGAGGACAGCTGACAGATGCATTCCAACTAAGGACCGGAGTCAGACAAGGCTGTCTACTCTCTCTTAAGACCAGGACTCATTGTCACCTCGAAATCCTTATGAGATCAGACCACGGGTAATGGCACTTCCCCTATATTGTATGAATCTGAATCTGTTCCTCCTAGTTCCGCAATATAATCGTAGTTTCATGCATCTCCACTGAATTGTGTCATATTTTATCTTCGGTGTTTTCACAACTAGAAACGCGTGAAAACATACCCTCCTGCAAATAGTTATGCTATCAGACACTCGTCGTTGGTCAGAGAAGTTTGTTATCAAGTACGCTACGCTTTAAAAGATATTAAACCTTTTATAGACATCCCTGGCATGATGTTGTCAGTTCTGTACAATTTAAATATCCCAACCCATACAATCCAAATGTACTAAACATAGATGTTATCAATCGTCAAGTCGACCTTACCGGTGGTGCTATGCTCAGTTGCAAGCTGATTAACTCTTCATGGCCCATGTTTCATATGGGTCACCTGAAGGCTTTGGAATATAGTTGTATTCAAGTTCCAAACAAAAGAATGGTTTCTAATACAATAAATATCGACTTCCGAAGTATCATATCGTACTCAGATGAGAAATGGTTCGGGATATATTTTATTTATGGAACATTGATAGGGCCAGATTCAACTACTAGTGGTATTTTCGTTTTGCACCTCGTATTGGTCTAAAAGTTTGCTAAAGGGTTGTTCGATACTTGTGAGGCAAATTAGAATTGTCATATAACATCACTAGTAAATACTGCAACGATGCTGAAATTTTTAAAATTACACTAATATTTATCAATACTTGGCAGAGACGTAGGGTTTATTATTTTATTTGAACACATAAATATTGGTACAAGAGGGCACCAAATATATATGCATATGAGACTACCTAATGACATAATAAAGTTTATTAGACCGGATAATATGTAGTCATAGCTTGTTAACAAATTCCCAAGGTGTACTGATCCTGCAGGTAGACTCTGGAGGATTTGTCCCAAGCTCCTTATTTTGGGGAAACCTTGGGGAATTCTGGGTAAATTTTGGAGTTTTCCCTAAAGTCGTAAAACTTTTGGTAGTTCTCCACGAAGTTGGGCGAAATCTTTGGGATTTTCCTGGGGAAATTTTGGTGTTTTTGTACTTTTCCCCCAAAAATATTTTATTGCAGCTCCCTCAGAATTTACGAAAAACGTTTTTCGTTGTCTGTACAGATAAATTTTTTTTCGGAAATAGCGAAATCGGGATGAAGGGACTAACAAGGTTGTGTAGTAGTTTCCGTTTCCAAAATGGACTGTTTGTACCATCATAACTATTGTCAGCCACACACGTACGTACGAAGTTCTACGTTGTTACCGACTGACTGACTGACTGACTGACACATGTATAATAGTTAATGTCTGGGTCAACTTTAGGTCATTCATTTAAAAAGTATTTTGCAAACTCCAGAATAGTCTTGAAACTACTAACTTTTGACACATGTAAATGACCTACTTGTTGTGTTAATGTCACTGCAGTGACATTGAAGTCATGGCATTATTGTATGTCAACTGTTTTGAAATTTATAGTGATACAAATGCCCTGGTACGGCCGAGGGTGGGGAAAGTCCACTCCCTCTCGAAATGCTCTCATATGGCCACGCGTATATAGCCTCTGCCAGGGAAGTCCTACTCACTGCTTTCTAATGGTGAGGGTGTTGTTTACAAAATTGAGAGGATGAAAAGCGAATGTTCGGCGCTTTAACCGGGTCGGTGGACACGGAGAGTCCACCTAGGGTTTGGAAAACCTTGATTCTAAACCAATGGTTCACATGGGCTCCAATATCCTGAAGGAACAAATGGCGTATGAACCGATTGTTGGTCATAGGACTGCATTTCCTTACGTCGCTTCACTGCCTTGTGGATCAGACCTTTAGGTCAAAGGCTTCGGGTGTGGTCTCCTGAGAAAACCACCTGCTTCGGTTTTGGCACCGGGGCAATATTACGGCCCTCACATATATCAAATGAGATCTGTGTGGCGCATATGTATTTGGTGCCTCCTTGTACCAATATCTATGTGTTAAAATAAAATAAATAAACATATATTCACACGATTACTGAAATTAAGATGAAAATACATAAAAAATCGTTCCAGTATTTTGTACGGTGTGATGAGAACTCCTTATCGTATCAAACATAAAGTACTGAATAAGCCGATTATTATTAACATCAGTCAATACAATAGAAACCCTTAAATATTGAGCTTGATCAACACAAGGCATCTATTTACATCCCTCGATCTAACATTTAGAATATGTCGAATAAAGGATATACTCACAAGATAAATGTGCTGAATGCCTAGTATTTTGATCAGATCTTTTGATTGCAAATCGAGTTTGTCATTATCACCTAAGACGTGCATAATCGTGACAAAAGTATCAAGAAATTTTAATACATTGTTTATACCTCCCAACTGTGGAATATGTATTCAAAAAACTAACAGCAAATTATCGTCTAAAATCAAACAGATTAACTTCATGAGATTCCTTTTGTAAACAACATCTTTTGAAATTATCTGATATTTTAAGAACTATAAAAAAAGTTTGGTACTTTCAAAAAGTACAGAAATAATTTCTGATTGTTATATTTGAGCACTGAACTCTTATAATTAAGAATCGCACAACAAGCCCATCGTAATGAGTCCAAAATGTCCTAGTTGGTTTATCAACTTAAGCAACTATGTTAATGGCCTGATCATTATCACCATTTACAAACCTATATAACGATAGTGTAAACAGTCATGTGTCCACTTAACCGCTAAGAGCTAAGTATACTATTTAGTTGATTATAAGATATGCTGAACGATTCTTTCTGAATACTTTGCATCAAATGATTTGATCAGTGAATAATCTGTGTATCTAATAATAATATTACCATCAACAGTAAATTTTGCTGTTTCCAGTTGAGTAAATAAGGAATTTCTTGAAACATTTGGAGTGAAAATCTGATTGTAAATGATATCTTCGATACGATTAGCCATGCGAAGATCTAATTCTGTTAATCGTCCAGCCATTTGACCAGCATTAGAAAGTCCGATTGTATCAATAAGTATGGCACCTATAAAAATGTAACATTAAGTACATATACATTTTAAAAGTACCATAAAGCAACTTCCATACATTGCTTGGTAAATAATTACCATCCATTTCTTTCAAAATTTCGAATGTGATTAGAGTGGCACAGGATCCGACAAGATCAATTTGCTTAAAAGGACAATTTTCAACGGTTTCAGTATTAACTAACTGATGATGATCAATTATTTCAATGGTTGGCCATTCACTAAACTTTTTCGTTGGTAAATGATGATCAACTAGAATTAAAAATAATTCATTTTCATTCACTTTTGAATAGGTTTCATTGAAAACATCATCCAGATAAATCAACTCTTCCCATTTGAGACCACATTGAGTAAGCCAAAAGGTAACTTCAGTGCGCAAAACCATATCCTCTCTATTGATACTACATACAGGTATAACAATGAACTCATTTTCAAGCTTCTACATAAATATATGTAAGAGAGGAATAAGTAATTCAACTTACCATTTGTTTATAAAATCCATAGGCAAGTGCACATGCTGTACTATCTAGATCACATGCTTCATTCCCAACAACAAGAATCCATTTACTTTTACAACTTGAATGCTAAAAATATCGAACAATAATAATTATCTTAAATCAAATCGAAATTTAACTATCGTGTTCAATAATACAAACAAAGAATAACTCACAAGGGCTTCAGCTGCATGACGTAAAAATGAATCCATTGCATCACATGTTCAACATGAGACTAAAATTGATAAACAGGGATGATTAGTTGAAATGCAGGTTCCACGTTTAAAATAAAAGGACAAAGGCTCGCATGGAAATGAAAAGAGAAAAAAGCTTCGGAATGCGGGTAATCACTAAGAACAATAATTTGTTAAGAGTGGGACGACAATACCGTTTTTATGGGAAGTTTAAAAAAGAACAACTTGTTTTCAATTAGAACAGTCAGGTATATCAAATTTACGTGATAATCTAGGATACAAACAACCCCATTTGGAAGCTGGCTCTTGATAAAATCGCCAAAAGACTAAAGCCGTGTAAGGAATATTTTTTTGAATCGATGAGGTTTTAAAAAAAGTTCCATGTCGATTTTGGTTGTAAATTATTAATCTTTTATACTGTATTTGCAATTGTGTTGAAGCTATTCAATCTAGCTACATTACGATAATAATCGTGAAGTTTGTGGGATATAAAAGGCTCGGATAGATATCATTCTTAGGATTCGTTTTAGGAATCGCGTCCTTTAATACGATGAAGATTTTCGGCAGTTATGTCTTAAGAATTATACTTTACCAGACACCAATCATTAGGTCTGATCAGGAATGTAGAAAGTATAAAACATTTAGTTGCATAAATAATGTGTCCCACCTAATTCATTTGATGCAAGTTTATGACTATCGAATGAACTACTTCCCGTGTGAAAAACTTACGCCTAACTTTGAAATCTCCCATACATTGGTTATATCACACGAAAGTGATGCTTAAATGTTACTGCCACTTAAAATCCAGTATTGTCTTAGGATTGATAATACGAAATAGTGAATTGTCCTACAGCATTCATTTTGGTTGACGAGCGAACAGATAATTTAGCAACCATATAAACAAATATCTACACCAAAAATTTGCCTGAACAACATTAGAAGCGGACACAACAAACTGCCTGAATTCCTGCCAAAACCAGCTGGTACGCAGACATTAAGCCTTGAAGATTTGAGTACAATTAACAACATGAACTAAAACACAAAGTTTGAGAAAACGCATGCAACAGTGATTGGTAGCAAAATCCCCTTATTTCGTTGTTCTTTCAACGAGCCATGGAATAAAAGGAAACCTATGATAGGTCCTGATGAAATGCTCATCATTTAAATCCTTGTTCATCTTAATAATTACGTCAAAAAATGAGTGGGTAATTTATTACCACTGATTCTTCGCAAGAATTAACTAGCATCTAGTTACTGTATAAGATTTCAATAGTAATGTCTCAATACTACCTGTAGACTTATCTTGTTTGAAATCGATAGAGGCCACTAGTGGAATCCAAGATATAATTTATCCAACTTGAAGATCTTTAGATGAATGTACCAATATTTTTATGTTGAAATTACTACTGAGATTATAGCTTAGAGTACATTGTCTTTAAATTAATATTAACCAGACAAACATTAACATAGTGTTTGCCACTGAGCAACAAAATTGTTGTGGTTATTTATTCAACGAGTATCAGTTGGTAATATGTCTTATACTTACCCTTTGCCCATTTTTTTGAGATAATTCGATGGAAGTAGAGTGGACTACTCCCTAAACATGAGATGGACTTTACCTAATTCGTGCAAGGTATATTATGACTCGAAAAGTACGCTGCATAAAAACAGAAAATACCGCAACTTTTTGGGACGATACCAAAACTAGAACCACATGACATTAAGAATAGCTACCTAGTTACAGCTAGTCAGTACATAGGCTTTAAAAATGTGACCACTGATATAAGTTAGTGCTCCATAAGGCTCTTGTACCTAGGTAACTAAATACGATAAATACTGCTCAAAGCATCTCAAATCCACTTACACTCTGTACAGAAGTGAGTAGTGGATTTTAGACCTTTAATCCTAGCAGACCACAGCAAGGCCCAGTGTAGTGGACAAATCAACCGTAATGACTGTATCTATTTTAGATTTGGTGGTCGATAAGAACCAACATACATTTCATTATATTTGACCGTTTGAATGATTTTAGAGCTATTACATCCATTCCGGAATTTTGTATTATTATTATTCATTATTTTGAACACATAAAGATTGGTACACGGGGGCATCAAATACATATGCGCCACAAAGTAAAAATGAGGCCAGTAGCAGTTATCATTGATTTGTGTGAGGGCTGTGATATTACCCGTGTGCCCGGACTGAGGCAAGTGGTTTTCTCAGGGGACCACACCCGAAGCCTTTGACCTAAAGGTCTGATCCACAAGGCAGTGAAGCGACGTAAGGAAATGCAGTCCTATGACCAACAATCGGTTCATACGCCATTTGTTCCTTCAGGATATTGGAGCCCATGTGAACCATTGGTTTAGAATCAAGGTTTTCCAAACCCTAGGTGGACTCTCCGTGTCCACTGACCCGGTTAAAGCGCCGAACATTCGCTTTTCATCCTCTCAATTTTGTAAACAACACCCTCACCATTAGAAAGCAGTGAGTAGGACTTCCCTGGCAGAGGCTATATACGCGTGGCCATATGAGAGCATTTCGAGAGGGAGTGGACTTTCCCCACCCTCGGCCGTACCAGGGCATTTGTATCACTATAAATTTCAAAACAGTTGACATACAATAATGCCATGACTTCAATGTCACTGCAGTGACATTAACACAACAAGTAGGTCATTTACATGTGTCAAAAGTTAGTAGTTTCAAGACTATTCTGGAGTTTGCAAAATACTTTTTAAATGAATGACCTAAAGTTGACCCAGACATTAACTATTATACATGTGTCAGTCAGTCAGTCAGTCAGTCGGTAACAACGTAGAACTTCGTACGTACGTGTGTGGCTGACAATAGTTATGATGGTACAAACAGTCCATTTTGGAAACGGAAACTACTACACAACCTTGTTAGTCCCTTCATCCCGATTTCGCTATTTCCGAAAAAAAATTTATCTGTACAGACAACGAAAAACGTTTTTCGTAAATTCTGAGGGAGCTGCAATAAAATATTTTTGGGGGAAAAGTACAAAAACACCAAAATTTCCCCAGGAAAATCCCAAAGATTTCGCCCAACTTCGTGGAGAACTACCAAAAGTTTTACGACTTTAGGGAAAACTCCAAAATTTACCCAGAATTCCCCAAGGTTTCCCCAAAATAAGGAGCTTGGGACAAATCCTCCAGAGTCTACCTGCAGGATCAGTACACCTTGGGAATTTGTTAACAAGCTATGACTACATATTATCCGGTCTAATAAACTTTATTATGTCATTAGGTAGTCTCATATGCATATATATTTGGTGCCCTCTTGTACCAATATTTATGTGTTCAAATAAAATAATAAACCCTACGTCTCTGCCAAGTATTGATAAATATTAGTGTAATTTTAAAAATTTCAGCATCGTTGCAGTATTTACTAGTGATGTTATATGACAATTCTAATTTGCCTCACAAGTATCGAACAACCCTTTAGCAAACTTTTAGACCAATACGAGGTGCAAAACGAAAATACCACTAGTAGTTGAATCTGGCCCTATCAATGTTCCATAAATAAAATATATCCCGAACCATTTCTCATCTGAGTACGATATGATACTTCGGAAGTCGATATTTATTGTATTAGAAACCATTCTTTTGTTTGGAACTTGAATACAACTATATTCCAAAGCCTTCAGGTGACCCATATGAAACATGGGCCATGAAGAGTTAATCAGCTTGCAACTGAGCATAGCACCACCGGTAAGGTCGACTTGACGATTGATAACATCTATGTTTAGTACATTTGGATTGTATGGGTTGGGACATTTAAATTGTACAGAACTGACAACATCATGCCAGGGATGTCTATAAAAGGTTTAATATCTTTTAAAGCGTAGCGTACTTGATAACAAACTTCTCTGACCAACGACGAGTGTCTGATAGCATAACTATTTGCAGGAGGGTATGTTTTCACGCGTTTCTAGTTGTGAAAACACCGAAGATAAAATATGACACAATTCAGTGGAGATGCATGAAACTACGATTATATTGCGGAACTAGGAGGAACAGATTCAGATTCATACAATATAGGGGAAGTGCCATTACCCGTGGTCTGATCTCATAAGGATTTCGAGGTGACAATGAGTCCTGGTCTTAAGACGACGTCCCATTGCCGGGAGGTCGAAGCTAAAAGGTTTCGAACCCTCTGGGCCTTAAAACGGACATTCACTAAGTTAGATACTACCATGTTCACCACAGTATACACATTCTTAGTGAGAACTAAGCTTGAGAAATGTGTTCAGGCTGTAGGCCCCTGTTTAAAAGGTGACTTGGATATCCTAGGAAAAGTACAGAGGGCAGCTACCCGTGCAATCCCACTCATTTTGATTGTTTGATACTGAAGTTCGACGGTTGTAAATTTGTCCTGATGTCACCACATAACCTATAAGATCTTATGCGTAAGTCAAATCATAGTCTACACTAACTCGTCCTGTCGTGACAGTCAGCGATATGACGTCTGGCACTTCTAAAGAACTCATTTGAGCTGGAAAGAGAGTAATATGTTTAGTGCAAAAAGCAAGTGGTTACGGAGAGTGATCAAGCACACATGACGGGATCATGCCATTTCGATTAATTGTCTCCGCGTTCAACATTGCTGACTTTCTCTCCGTTTTAGATGTTGAATATGAATTTCCCCAAATAAAATATTTTCAGTTTCGAGTATCATGAAGTTAGAATCAATAAAACTACACCTCCATCATATGTTAAAGTCAATAACAATCAGGTGACATTTCTGAGGTTCCGCCGGCCTCTCTACCGGAAGCGGCAAACGTAATACAGGTAATAGCAAAATTGTTAGATCTAATCTCTCTCACAACACAATTCTTACCGTACCCAATCCCATGAGTATTCATGGAAATACTACCTGTGATCTATACTGTGACTTTCTTCTTTCATTCAATGCCCACTCTCTCTCCAATAAAGTTAGTCATCTTCCAACTCCTTTGTTCCTTGTAAGTCCAAGCATTATATTAATACTACAGGAAC